CATCTTGTATCGTGCTATTTTTACTCAATATTCTCAACATTTCTCATCTTCAAAACTGTGATTTTGATGACAGCGCAGGACTTTGGCATATGGGTTTAGAAAATCTATGTAAACCCGGCTTGTTTCCAGCGTTTGCTGTTTTAACGCTGATGCAAACGTCCCCATACATAAATCCTCTGCTTTGGATTATTTCCTGGGGGTAAATTCCCAGCAGCAGGCCAAGGTGCACGGACCACCATCTCCAGACTCCCGATGCCCATTAGGGAGGGCTTTTTTTTTTTTTAAAGATTTTGTTTATTTATTTGAGAGAGAGAGAATGAGAGAGAGAGAGCACATGAGAGGGGGGAGGGTCAGAGGGAGAAGCAGACTCCCCGCTGAGCAGGGAGCCCGATGCGGGACTCGATCCAGGGACTCCAGGATCATGACCTGAGCCGAAGGCAGTCGCTTAACCAACTGAGCCACCCAGGCGCCCTAGGGAGGGCTTTTGGGAGCAGGTGAGGTTTGAGGCTTTGGGGGGACTTGAATACAGAGGAGGGAGAAGGGGGGCAGTCTTGTTTTGGGAACAGTGTAAGCAGAGCCGGGGCACCTCCTGCCCCATGGGGGTGGATGGCAGGATCTCTTCTTCCCAGATGACCGCCCCGTACCTGTCTGAGGCTCCGAGGCAGTCTGGTTTGTCCTGTCCAGCTGTGGATGTCTTTCGTGCCCTCTGACTCAATGACATCTTGCAGACAGAAGAGGAGGCAGTTCCGTGCGGCTCCCCACGGCTCTCCACCGGTCCAGTGAGAGGCCGCTTTTCTGCCCAGGCATCAGATCTGACATACGGTCACATAGGGTCTCAAATCTGCAAAATGACCAGCTCATGAGCACTCCTGTTGGCTTCTGTGGCCACTTATGGACACCCTTTGGCTGGCTCTACCCTTGCAGGGAAGGGGAGGGGTACCTGCCACCGGGGGAGGTCACACCCACCACCCCCCTCCGCCCCCCGGAGCTGGTGGAGGGGGCTTCCAAGGACGGGGACTGTATGTGTGTGCCTGGGACCCAGGGTGTGTTTTTAGGATTCTGAGGGGGGAACCTTCAGGACGGTCTGCTAATTTTTCCCAGCTGGGTGTTGCTCATGTCACGACATCCTCCGTGGGGAGGCAGCTTTGTACAGGGCGTCCCTTGCGAAGCCTGCCTTAAAAAATGATCTTGTTTCATCACCAAATTTCCCGGTGTAAATCTAGAGCAGGGTCACTCCCGATGACTGCTCCTACCATCTGGGGTTTTGTGGATTCCAGGAGAGGAAAAGGAGGTGGCTTTTTCTCCTGGGTCCCTGGAGAGGGGCTGGGGTGCAGGGCAGGGTGGCAGCACCAGCCAGAGAGCCCAGATAGGCCTGCAGCGCAGAGGTCTCACCCCTCCAGCGGTTGCTGTGGTAACTTCTGGGGGCTGCCGTAAGAAGTTACCACAGACTGTGGGGCTCTAACCACGGAAGTTTATTCTCACAGTTCTGGAGGCCTGAAGTCCAAAGTCAAGGTGTAGCAGGGGCATACTCTCCAAAAGCATGAGGAAAGAATCCTTCCTGCTTCTCCCAGCTTCTTGGTGGCCCCGGGCGTCCCTTGGCTCGGGGCTGCATCACTGCGGTCTCTGCTGGTCTCACGGGGCCTGAGTTTGTGCCTCATCCCCCTTTTCTCTCCTGTATAAGAACACTTACAGGATTTAGAGCCCCTCCTAAATTCAGGATGGTGTCATCTTGAATCCTTACGTTATCTTCCCAGGTAAGGTCACCTTCACAGGTTCTGGGGGTTAGGACTGGGACATATCTTTTGGGGGACACGATTCAACTCCGTACAGAACCGTAGAGGAAGGTGGAGCTTCTCAGGCTGAGAAGGCGGTGAAGACCCGGTGCCTCTCTGCTCCCGAGGCCCCTTGTCTGGGGCTTCCCCGGGGCTCCGTGCCCACAGGTACAAACCTGTGACCTGCTCCCACCTTCAGCTCATGTAGAAGCAGCACCTGAGGCCCTTGAAGGGACAAAGAGGTGGCTCGTGGAGTTACAAAGGTCCGGGGACCCCAAACCCACCCCCCCACTCCAAAGCCAATCACCATAGTCCTGACATGGCCTGGATGACATGGGAGGGGGACGTATGAATGTGTTGGGCTAGGGCAGGAGGCGACAGCGAGCCTGGCCTTGGAGGGGACTTGGAATCAAGTTTGTTTGGGGGGATGGCATAAATTCTCCAGAACAACCCTAGCAATGCAGCCGGCTTGCTGACAGTCACCACCCTGAGGGTGGGAACTGCGCCTGTTCTCTTGGGGCCTAGGAGTAACCCGGGATGGGACGGTGCCTGAAGCCCGAGGGTGAACACCTTGGTCGATGGTGTAGTGTGACGAGGGGCTCACAGGTCCTGTAGGGCCAGGGGTGGCGTGTGCTGCGACAGGGCACAAAGCAGCGAGAGGAGAGGGCGGCGGGTGGGGACGGGCACGTGCGTCTGTGGAGATGGCTGTGGCGGGGTGACCTGCAGAGGGAGGAGGGTTGCCGACCCGGCTCAGCAGTGATCTGTGTGCGGGTCGGGTTCGAATTCATCACCACCCTGCGACCGTCGGTGCCTGAGTCAGGGACCAGGCTTTGCTTTGGTGCACGGTCCTAATTCCTGGGTCGGTGGTTAAGGGCACCTCCAAATGGGCTTCCCAGGGAGAGGGCTCTCCAAATGGGGTCACAGGCCTCGCCAGTACTCCCAGAAAGGAGGTCGTCTCATTCTGGGGCGAACGTGGGCAAAGGCCTACCCCCCTGATTTCTGTTCTCCAACTCGGCCCCACGGATTAACCCCAGGGACACCTGGAAATGCCTGTGCCGAGGTGGGTGGGGTGTGGACCCCACCTCTAGGGAGCTCACAGACAGACAGACAGGAACCACCGTTCGAGGGGCAGTTTGGACAGTGCTCTCGAGGCCGGGGGTAGACCAGATGCCTCGAGGTTCCGGGGAACCCTATGAGGTCATGGTTCCAGGTGTTCCAGGTGTTCAGCTCTGGACTTTCTGGCCAGTTTAATGCACCCTGGCCCTGTCCTTTGTCACCTCAGCCTTCTTTGGAATGAGCGGTTTGCTCTCTGTGGTTCTCTTAGGGGCTAGGCCCCAGGGGAGAGGTGCTGGCATCCCTGCTTGGACACATCCCTGCCACTCAGCACAGGACCCCACCGCCCTTGGCCACGTTATCCACCAGAGGTCACACGCTGGGCCCCCAGGCCAATTGCAGCCTGTGGATGGGTTCCTGTTTGACTGCTCCGTGTTTTAAGAGGCGTTGTTTTCCTCTGCGCCAGCATATACAGATCAGGAGATAGCCCATAAAAAAGTGCAGATTTCCAGATTCTTCTGCCAAGCCCGAAGCTCTGGCCACATGGGGCACACGGGCCTGCCAGGCAGCAGCAGAGCTGAGCAGCTGGTGGATCCCCGAGACAGGGTGCTCAGTGACATGCTAGGTCCCCCTGACCAGGGACATTTCTGTCCCTGCAGGGCCTCTGGGATGGCTGAGCTTTGCAACTCAGGATTTTGTGCCCTTTGTACCCTGAGAAGGAGATGTGCCCAGGGCTCAGAGGGGTGCTGCTGGGGTGCCACCTTTGGGGAACCGGTAGATCAGGCAGCCGGACATCGGGGATGAGGGCCTCCTTTGCTTCTTCACTCTCCCAGTGCTTATGAGCACATGCTTCTCTGGCCACCCACCCACTCAGCCGCCCGCCAGGCCCTGATCTCTGGAGGAAGCACCGTCCACTGGGAAGAGACAAGACTGTGCTGGAATTTGGGGGAGGGAAAACTCAGGGTTGGGGGGCGGTGCTGAGAATGGCCCCAGATTGCTGTTGTTGGGGCCAGGGCCAGCTGGGGGCCCGGGGAGGAACTGGCAGGGTCCTAGGAAATCCTGGGCTTGGTGGGGGAGCTGGGTTGGCGAGATGAGGCGAGGGGTGGGAGAGGCACTCTGGGCCGCCGAGGGCCTGCTGGGGGCCCAGCCAGGAAGGAGCTGGTGAATGTTCCTGCCACGTGGGCCTTTCCTGCTCTGGTCTTTATGGTGGGAGCAGCTGGTTCTTGTTGGGAATGTGGCCGCAGGGACTGTGGGGATGGCTGGCAGCTTCCCAGGCACTGTGTCCTGGCCTCGGAGGGAGCAGGTCCTGGCGGAGGTAGTGGGTGGCCGGGCAGAAGCACTGGGCTGCAGGGTGGGAGTCAGGTGGCCAGCGTCCCATGGGGGTCCAGGTCCGGCTAGGGCAGGTAGCAAAGCACGGAGGCAGATGGAGCCGAGGGTGAGGACCGAGGGAGTTGCCATGCCAGGGCTCCGTTCTGCTGCCCGAAACAGGACAGGCAAGCAGTCAGAATCTGGGGCCTTGCCGCTGGAAGATGCATCTTCTGGCCCTGCCACGCTGTCTCCACGCTGTTGGGCACATTGCTTAAGCACCAGGGCCTCAGTTTCCCCATCCGTACCAGGGTTTAACCGGTATTTACAGCATTGGGTCAGGAGTGAACATACACGGTAAACCCAGCGCCCGTGTTGGCGGTTGATGTCAGTTGTCAGGACGACATCATTGCCGTCATGATTCTGACAGATTGTGGTTGCGGCTGGTGTGACCGGGGACGCCTCCCGCCCCACCCTGCCCATTTGCTGCTGTGTGTTTGTGTCTGGTGGTGTCTGCGCTGGGCGGAGGTGAGGAGGGATAAAGGAAGGCTGCCAAGGGAGAAATCAAAGCTCCGCTTGAGCCAGAACATCTTTATAGAAAACGTGGCTGCCACGTCCACGCCTTGGCCATGGGGGACAGAGAGGCTGGTGTCCTCCAAGCTCCAGCCTTCTCTCTCTCTCTCTCTCCCAGGGTGTGTGCGATTGCTGGTGCTGGAGTCCCCTAGGAGAGTGGGGCTGTCCCCTTTCTTCCCAAGACGTGGAGGGTGCAGGAGTCTCCCGGGCCCCTCAAGGCAGCACCCCTGCCTGCTCCCTCAGCAGCGCGTTCCCGAACTGTCCGCTCCTCACATTCCCCCCCGCTCTGTTTTCCAGCCTTGAAAAGATCTTTTGAGGTCGAGGAGGCCGAGACGCCCAACTCCACCCCGCACCGGAGGGTCCAGACCCCTGTGCTCCGGGCCACTGTGGCTAGCTCCACCCAGAAGTTCCAGGACCTGGGCGTGAAGAACTCCGAGCCCGCAGCTCGCCATGTAGACTCCCTCAGCCAGCGATCCCCCAAGGCTGCCCTGCGGAGGGTCGAGCTCTCGGGTCCCAAGGCCGAGCCCGTGTCCCGGCGCACGGAGATCTCCATCGACATCTCGTCCAAGCAGGTGGAGAACACCAGCACCGCTGGGCCGTCTCGCTTCGGGCTCAAGCGAGCCGAGGCACTGGGCCACAAGACGCCAGAGCCCACCCCTCGGAGGACGGAGATCACCATAGTCAAGCCCCAGGAGTCAGCTCACCGGAGGATGGAGACCCCTGCCTCCAAGATCCCTGAGGTGCCCACAGCTCCCACTGCAGACACAGCCCCCAAGAGGGTCGAGATCCAGGTGCCCAAGCCAGCCGAGGTGCCCGCCTCCCCCATCCCACCCCAGACCCTGGAGAATTCAGAACACACCCTGATGTCTCAGCTGCAGAACAGGCTGGAGCCCAAGCCCCAGCACCCCGTGGTTGAGGCCCCACCCAAGAGCCAAGAGGGTGAGTGGCAAAAGCGAGTACTCCGTGCTGTTGTGCTCCGGGATGGGGAGCTGGCTTTGCCCTGGAGTCTGGATATGGGGGGGAGGGGGTGGGTAGCAGGTGGGTGGACATACAATTCCGGGGAGGCCAAGAATACACCAGGGCAGGGGTCCCAAGGCTGGTGAGGGGGACTGGCAGCCCTTTCTGTCCATTGGGGATGGACTGGGAGGCAGGAGCAAGCTTGGCTTGCGTTGGGGCTTTGGACAGAATCTTTAGGTTTCGAGGGGCCCCCTTTACTGGTCAGAATGCACCGTGGTGTAGAGCTTCTGCTGTCAGAGCCCCAAACGGCGGGGGTCTGGAAGTCTGGGGAATGAGGAGGCAACAGCCTCATGTTGGGACATGGTTTGGGACCCAAGGACCGGCTCCCATGTGTCGCTGGTTGCCGGGCCACGGGGAGGCAGATTCCTGCTCAGGAGGGATTGTGGGCTGCCCTGTAAGTACCCGCCAGAGGCAGAGGCCTTGGGTGGGAGGAGGGGGTTTGTGCCCTCCTGAGGTTTTGTCCTGGAGGATCTTCCTCCAACTCTTCCTCAGGGAGGGAGGGTCAGTCGTGGCTGGAGACAAGGGAAACAAGAATACCTAATCTCTGTGTGCCCCAATTCTGGGGGCAGCTAGGAAGGGGTCCTTGGGCCGGGGAGCCCCATGATACCTGCACACAGCTCCGTTGGGGATGCTCTTCCGGTGAGGGAGGGAAGCCAAGGGGTTGGGTGCTGTGCTCCGAGGGCCCAAACCCAGAGTTGTGCTCCCGTGGGGAGCTCACCGGGGCCTGCTTGGGAACATCTGGCTATGGGATGCGGTGATCAGGGGCTGGCGGGGCTATAAACCTTTTCCAAGTGCAGGACTTGGACGCAGTAAATGCCCAGTAAGTATTCTTTGGGTTGGATAAACAAAACATTCTAGGTTTTTGATTTACCTTTTAAATTATTATTATTAAAATTTTGGTAAAATACGTATACTGTGAATTGACCACTTGAACCGTCGTGAAGTGTGAGGCTCAGTGGCATTGAGCACGCTCATGCTGTCGGGCAGCCAACTCCACCATCTGTCTCCAGAACCTTCCCAAACCGAAACTGTGTTCCCACCAAGCACTAACTCCCCCTCTGGGGGAGTTAGAGCCCTCCTTCTAACTCGTCCCCCTCTGCCAGCCCCTGGCGACCCTCCCCCCGCCCCCGTCTACCGTCTGTCCCCGTGAACCTCCCACACGTGGGATCCGACAGTGTTCGTCCTTCCGTGTCTGGCCAACTTCACCGAACACTGTGTCCTCACGGTCCATCTGTGGTGTAGCCTGTGTTGGCATTTCCTTACTTTTTACAGCTGAGTAATATTCTGTTGTGCAGACAGACCTCATTTTGCTTGCCCCCCGCCCCACAACTTCCTCCTTCAGCACAGACTCGGCTCATGCTCACTTACGCCAGAGTCCGCGGATGGACCCCAGGCTACAGCTCCTTGGCCACTGTGAGCATGGGTGCATGGATAGCCCGTCCGTACCCTGCTTTCAGTTTTTCTGGGTTTTCCTTTTTGAACACAAGTTTTCCCATGGTCCGTGGGCTTAGGGACTGGGGCGGCTTTTGGCGCCAGACGGGGTGGGGTGTTGGATGGGGGCCAGCGCTCCTCACGCTTCAGTGGGAGCAGCTCCCTTCGTTTGACGGAGCAGCTGGGGATGGGGGTGGGGGCTAGGCCTCAGCCCACCCTCCCATCTCCCCAAACTTGATCCTGCAGAGCCACGCCCACCCACTCAGATACTGTGGTGTTGGCACGAAGGCATGCCCAGTGTGCGGGGAGTGGTCTTCTGTTGGCCCAGGGCCTTTGCCACCAGATACGACCCCCTCCCATGGGCGAGGTGTTCACGCCTAGCTGAGTCAGGCAGGATGTGGTTGGGGACATGGTCATCACCAGGCCCGTCCATGTCCAGATCTTGATGGCAGCTCGTGCTGGATGAGTGAGGAGGCGGTCCTGGCTCTGGGGGATGGGTGGGGGGGGGGTCTGCCCAGGGTGGTACTGCCCTGGGTCATCAGGGTGGGCAGGGCACAGCCTCAGGGATGCAAGACTGTCTTCCTCCAGCACAGATGCTACTCGGGGCCCCACTTAGCCCAGAGGCTGTGCTGGGAGCCAGGGCCGCTGGAGCTGGTCAGGCTGGCTCTGCCTCAGGAGCAGAACAGTCAGTAAAGAGCAGCCAGGAGCCATCGAGGGGCCTGTGGGGGTCTTCCCGGAGCCCAAGGTGCTTGAGCCAGCCTTGGAGAAAGTAGGATTTATCCAGAAGAAGAAGGGGAGCTGAGGCAGCGTCCCGAGGTGCCCAGGAGCCTGGAGCTTAGAAGGAACTGCAGACTTTCTCCATGGAAGAGAGTTTAAATGTCCAAGCCCAGTGCCAGAGCCCTGCGGTCAGCAGCCCAGACCCCGGTGCCCCTCAGAGAGCAGCCAGTGGGTCTAGCAGATGGGGGTCCAGCTCATGGGCCAGTGGCTGTCCTCCTGCCTCGGAGTGTAAGCTGGGGGTGGGGGGGTGTGTGCCAGGCACGTGTATACATGCGTGTGCCCGGACCTCCTGTGTCTCATCAGCTGGGTGGGGAAGGGGCTTTCTGAGACCGGTGCTCACAGGTTGAGAACCTTCAGGCTGGGCAGATGCAGTTAGATAGGCAGCTGCAAAGGGGAGGAATGCTGGGGGAGGGGGAGGGCTGGAGGAAGTGGGGGCTCGGATGGCTCCGTTGGGGAGGATTCTGTTCCCTTTGGGCAGCACTGCGGTGACTCCGGTCCTGGGGCCTGGGAGTAATGCAGGGTGTGAGAGGTTGGGTGAGGAGGAGGAAGCACGGCCCACTGTGGGCTGGAGAACTTGGCCCTGACTGGCTCGGCCTTGGATGTCCATTCTTGGAGTCCTGGGCAAGCCCGGTGGCCGGCAGGGCCTTTCCGGTGGAGGTGTGGTCCTGGAATCCGTTGCAGTGGCTTCTGGGGGTCCCCTGCTCCGAGGCTCTGTCTGCTCCCCTGCCCCTCCCTCTCCTCTGGTCATATCCCGTCCAGTCCATCCAGATACAGATCCGATTACCCCTCAACCTGGCTTCCCATCCATCTTTCCCACTGGACTGGCACTCCCATCCCCTTCCTCCCCCTCCCAGAAGCCCCCCACCCTGTAGGCCTTGCTCCGACTGCCCCCTGTGGGCACGCCGTCCCTGGCACCCGAGGCCAGCTGGCACCGCAGGGATGAAGGATCAGGGAGGGAGGGAGCTCTGTGCCCTCTGCCTTCTGGACTGTGGCTTCAGGTGCAGGACAGGGTCTCCAGGGAGCACGGCCGAGTTGCTCCCAGATGGAGCTTCCTACAGCACAGCACTGACGAAATCCCCCCCAGCCCTGGGCCTTCCCTGGCCTGCTGTCCATGGGGCCCTCCACAGTCGGTTCCCTCTCTTGTCCAGCTCAAACCTCCCTGCTCCCCGGGCTCCTCCTGCTCTGGTCCTGTCACGGCCTTCACAGGTCACCTTTCCTCACCTCCTGCCCTGACCTCCTGACCCCTGGCCCCTGACCTTCTTCCTCTCCACATTGCTGCTTTTTGAACTTCTATGCATCCTTCAAAGCCCAGCTCAAATGGCACCTCTTCCATGAAGCCCTCCTACTAGAGTCAGAAATAGCGTCACTTCCTTTGACTCCTGTGCCTTTTTGCATTTTTTTTGGTCTATGATATCTTGTGTGTGGCTTGCAATGTTAATTATTTGTGTTGCATGAAACTTTTTTTCTCTGCTAGACTTCTAGTGTAAAAGTAGCTTCTCAGCACACCTTTTCTTTTCAGATGTAGAAAATCTAGAAGTTAGAATCTAAGGTTCACTTGTAATCCTGCGATATCCACTCTGAGCATTTGCTCTGTATTTTTCAGAATTCCCTCCATGCCCTACTAGGTTCTGGGTTATTTGAGGGTAAGGCTGTTGTCTGTTTTCTTCAAGGTTTTTTTGTTTTTGTTTGTTTGTTTTACTGGCTGAGTGACATAGATGTAGTAGGTGCTCGATAAAACAATGTTGGAGAGGTGAGATGGCTTTTTGTGGCCCCTTCGGACATCAGGACCCCAGGGACCCCATGGGACCTTGCAGGGACCAAGCAGATCCTTTCCTGGTCAACCAATAACCCACAGGTCTGACCTGCTCCATTCTGGTGCATTGGGGTCTGTGTTTCTGAGGCTGCTGGTCCCAGGCCCTGACCCTTGACCCTCCTTGTCACCCTTCGGTCATCCCTGCTTCTTTTAGGCTCTGGGTGAGTATGGCCTTGTCCCCTTGCCTAGGTCCCTGCTTTTGCCCTGCCCCTACATGAGTGGCTCTGGGTGGGGCAGGGCCACTGGACCCAGAACCATGTCTGTGCGGTGAGCTACTGGCTCCGCTCCCCCTTGGGAACCACCCACCTCTGGTTCCATGGCTGACACCGGCCAAGTTTCCCCCGAGACTGCCTTATAAGGCGGGCACAGGCTGCTCAGTCTCCAGACTGCTGCTTTGCCGTCGCCGGATGCTAACTGGGAGCCCTGGGGGAGGCTGGGCCTGACTGGGCAGGGTGGGGCTCGAAGGGCCCTGCACCGGCTCTTGCTGAGTTCTTGCCCAGGGCCTGGTTCTGTGCCATGGGCCAGCTGGTTGTGAGCCATCCCTTTGCCCGCCCTCCAGCCTCAGTTTCTTGATCTGTCCCACAAGGGACTGGTTGGGGCTCCTGTCCTGAGGCAGTGGGGCCGGAACCCTGTTCCACGGTGGTGCCAGGTGTGGCTGGTGATGGTGGGTGTGAAATTGGGGTGGGGCAGACTCACCAAGTGTCTCAGTAGGGTTTCCCTCTGACTAAAAAACATCTAGAAATGTTCTTGGCTATGGGTGGAGCATTGAGGCAGGTGGCCATCAGGTCCCCAGGCTTCTGGCGGTGGGCATGGTGTCTGTGCACACCAGGGGTGCCTGCCTGCCTTCTGGGTAGACCTGGGTTCCTGCTGCAGCAAGCCTGCGTTAGGGGCTGGGACAGAA